CCATTGACATTCTTATTGTTAATTGCAGATGCGGAGATGTTTAGCGCTTGAAGCGTTCCATAGAACAATCGTGAGGATTGTGCGAAGCGAGGTGCGAAGATTGCGTGAAAAGGAATGTTTTATAACGAAAAATAGAGATGGTGGCCGGCCAAGAAGTTCGAAACACATTGTTACTGATGAATTTTCTCGCTGATATCATGTCACTATACAAATACTCAAATATCTCGAGAACGGTTACACTTTTTGTATTTTGATAAGAGTACCATTTTGGGAAATTTTCATCTCTCTATCAGATGCTTCTGTTTTTTCACCGAAAAGAATACGAGGAAAAAAGTTGTCTTCAAAAAATCATGACCCACCCTTCATAACTATAACAGATATGTAGGAGTGTATCAAAAACCTGCATTTAATCAACTTACATATATGCAGGGATTTTTTATTTGGTTGCTTTTACCGTTTACAAGTTATGCAGAAAAATATTTCAATTCAGTCAAATTTGGAAGGATAGGTATTACACATTTTGGGTCCTTAGTTTATTCATCAAACAATATTTCAATTTTCATGTTATATTTATATTTTCAATGTAAGATCACCTCCAGGAAGCTGAGTACACATTTTTTACTCTCCTGTATGAGCCTATAATATACAGGGTGAGTCATGACTAACCAGCCATAGTCTTATGGCGGATAGAGGAAGTCAAGGTGAGTTGATATATATGTGAAATATATTTTGCCTATTCGTAACAGGAATACAGGGCATTATTTGAATTCGGGACGAATCTTTGATGATTGAACGATATTCCATGAATGTCTCGATGTTATCGTCTGAGAATTCATTTTCTTTATAAATGTAATAATTTTGACTTTCAGGATCGTTTTTTTCAAAAACTCTTATCAGAATCAGAAAGATCAGGAGGAACACAAGTACAGCTTTTCAATTTTCACGTCACAATTCGACCGATTTGGTAGAAAGAATTGAAACGAAATACTGATGAATATTTCTCTGATTTCGTCTGGGCTCATTACTCTCTACATTCGACTTAAGGTATTGAAATCTTTTCTTTGCATATTGATATACTAGCGAAGTCGAGAATAGTTATTTTCAATATGGGAATTCAGGACCGGATTTGATTTTTGGAAAAAACTACAAAACAATTATCATTTTCGAAAAAGCTTTGTCTATACCTCAACAATCTTCAACGAGAATTCTCGAAATGTCCTTTTCCAATTTCTTCACATTTTCTGCATCTCTTCATGAGATCTCTCATGGTTTTTAGAAAAATTTTCCCATTATTTCTGATCATATTTGAATCTGTAACTATCATCTTTCTCAGTACTTCTCTGGTGTTGACTTCAGTTTGATATACCAATCGTTTCATATGTCTCCATAGATAATAGTCTAATACTGTTATAGGAGACCTAGAAGAACAAAAATGAGAGCCGCCACGACCTATCCAGCGATTAGAGAATTGGGTGTCTAGGTATTCTCTAACTCGTATTGAGTAATGTGGAGGTGCCCCATCCTGTTGAAATTAAATAGCTCATTCAATACATTCACTTACATTCATCACAGCCTTCTTTTTCAGTGCTTTCTGAATCGTGAAAACACCAAACTCACAATTTAATTCGCTAATTGAGAGTTCACATGCAATAAGATCATATTCACTAGTTTCTCAAAAGTTCCTCTATGTAGTATGAGTAAGCACGTATATCTGATTCGGATAAAAAACTTTCACCTAAGTGATAATTCCTTATATTGAGTACAATGTTTCCACATTTCCACATGTAGAAGCAGTTTTCAATTGGAAATTATTTATGTTCATATTTCAAGGGTCTCTTCCAGAGATTCAAGTCCGGTCCTGGCTTTTTTATCGGATAGAGCATCTTCCGAACTCTTATGGCACACCAATATGCAGTCGAACGATTTGACTACAATATAAGCCCGTGAGAAATCATGGAAACGTATTTTATTCGATATTTTTTAACGATTTGGTCGAAGTATATGCCGTACAAAATGAAAAGCTACACTTGTTTTTCCTGATCTTCTTGATTCTGATGAGGGTTTTTGAAAAACACGATCCAGAAAGTCAAAATCATACATTTATAATGAAAATGAATTTCCCAATTCCGGCTCTGGAATGTTTTTCCATATCAGGCTATTGTATGGAGTGTCTGTAGAGGTAAGTGGCTGATGGCAAAAAATTTTTATTTCATAATTCGATGGAACTCACCCGAACTAGCTCACCATCGCAAACCGTTTCTTGCTGTGAGCTCCCTACGTTTTATAAAAAATTATTGAAATCCCCGATTTTTCGGACCTCTGAAAACGAGGCGATGATGTGACGTCAAAACCCTAATACTGAAACAAGACTATTCCAGACAGAGATGAATGGTACATGATTTCTGACAGAGTGAATTAACCCAAGATCACAGTTGAAAGCATTAAGGGGGTCCGTTTTCGCGGTACTATTATTTATGTCCAAAAATAAAACATTCCAGTTAATTTTTCGATCGAATTATGTCGTCAATCATTATTCATGTATAAAAGGATCATTATAAACATGGTTGGAGTTAAAAGTTCTACTAAGGTGTACACGCCCATTTCAGGCGATAACATGGAGACGTTGCTGAAATATCGTTCATCGAAGTTTCGCCCCGAATACAAATAATGCCCTGTATTTCTGTTATGAATAGGCAAAACATATTTTTTCACATATATACATATATCAACTTGACTTTCTCTATCCGCCGTTAGGCTATGGCTGGTTAGTCATGACTCACCTTGTATACCCTAACATTTTTTCAGTTTAGTCCCTCATTATAGATCATACTGAGACATCATTTTGACGTATAAATATGACGGCTAATGGCTGTGACATCTGGACGTCTTTCCTAGGTCTTCAAGACGTCATTTTTTGACGTCAATCGGTCAGTTTTGTGACCGAAATAGGACGTCATTCGGACGTCACTGTGTTACCTGATGGGTTCTAGTAGTGTACGCAGATTTCTTCTGAAAAAAATCGCTAATATGGATTGAGGATTTTTCAGCCAGAATGTGATTGAAAAGGCTACGTTTGAAAATAAAAATTGACACTGATTAGCTTCAAAAAACATCTTTTCCCCCCCCACATTTTGAAAAAATTCGTGAAAATCGCTCCATAAATAAAAAATTAATGACGGTGGTCCGCTTTCAAATGGGTCACTCTGTAGATAAATAGATAGATAAATAGATATACAGGGTGTCCCTAGACCAGTGGGACAGTTAAATATCTTCTGAATCAATAGGAATTTTCAGTATATTATAATTCCACATCATATCGCATCATGAGTGCTAACTTCAAGAATGACTATATTTTATACGAGGTGCGCAAGAAAGGCTCACAAAATCGAACATAATTTTTTTCAAATGGAACAGCCTGTATTTCATTGCATTCACATATTCTCCTTGAAGAGCTGAATTCACCGACCTAGCACACTTGGGGTCTAGAGGGAATGATTTCCGAGATATAGGGTGTGGAAAATCGAGATTTTTCATTTTTGGGAATTTTTTTTGTCGAAACTAATCATTATTCGTCAAAACGGCTTACATAATCATACATCAACTTTTGATTTACTATTCACTCGTATTTAATTGAAACAAATACAGGGTGGTGTAGAATTCTGACTGAAACTGTTAATTCTACACCACCCTGTATTTGTTTCAATTGTATACGAGTAAATAGTAGATCAAAAGTTAAGATATGGACATGTAAGCCGTTTTGACGAATAATGAATAGTTTCGACACAAAAAATTTTCAAAAATGAAAAATACCGATTTTCCACACCTTATATCTCGGAAATCATTCCCGCTAGACCCCAAGTGTGCTAGGTCGGTGAATTCAGCTCTTCAAGGAGAATATGAAAATGCAATGAAATACAGGGTGTTCCATTTGAAAAAAATTATGTTCGATTTTGTGAGCCTTTCTTGCACACCTCGTATAAAATATAGTCATTCCTGAAGTTAGCACTCATAATGCGATATGATGTGAAATTATAATATTTTGAAAATTCCTATTGGTTCAGGAGATATTCAACTGTCCCACTGGTCTAGGGACACCCTGTATATTTCGTGATTTGAAATATTTACTTTCAATTACACACGTCGGTAGAGTATACAGGGTAATCATTTGAGTACTTGTAATATACAAACAAATAATACTAACAAATAATATAAAACAAGTTAAGACAAACATAAACATACTCGAGTAGCAAGCTTTTAACGATCGATAAAATGAAGAGATACTGTGATGAGATAGGCAAATTACAAAAAAAAGTTGAAACCAAATTAATAATAATACGGTGTTGATGAATATATTATTTAACTGAACGAATATTTTTCTGAAATAATGTATACAGTATGATGCAAATGTATGGAATAAATTCATTATTCCAGAAATGGGCGACATTTGAAAAAATTCCAAAAACACGTGAGTTTTAATTTTTGAAGCCTCATCTCATGATATCCATATGAGAGATGTTACGTCACCGATGTTGGAGTAATGACGAAATGGACGGATGGAATTTTTTCAAATACAAACAGGGGTCATGTGACACCACGTTTGAAAAGTCTACTGATCGTCTATCCAACAGTCAAAATGTTGCAAGAGAAGATTGAAATTAAAATGGACTATCATTAGAATAACTGAATCTTGCAGAGGTCTGCTATTGAGAATTGAACATCGAAGGGTCGTCTAGTTAAAAAAATACATCGATTAAGAAAGTTCTGAACTCTAGTTTTTGGATTTCTTTCGAAAGTCGTCTGGTTTAGAAATGAATTTATTCCATACATTCGCATCATACTGTATATGAAACCAACGTTGGCTGGGTCAGCTAGTATACATTGAATTGTTCTTCAAGACTGTCCTGCTACCTGCTACAAAAACCTGACTCACCCTGCATAACATCTTCCTGTATGATTCAAAACCTGCCCCGATCTCCCCTACCGCACGCTTCACTTTCAGTAATCGCCTCGCGTATCGAAACAGCGCATTCTCCTTTCATTTCTCTAACTTCTCGACTCGTCTTACGGTTTAGGAAATCAACTAAGTTACTAGCATGCTAATGCTAACTAGAACGAGAATTAACAATGACATTTGAGTCATGACAAGCGCTACGAACGGGGTTTCCTTCTTCCAAATTACATTTTCAAGTGGTTAACTTGCGATTTAAGATTGTAGTTTGTGTAGTTATTGTGATAGAAATGAGCGAACGTACTTTCCTTGGTCTAGATCTCAGCACACAACAGGTGAGCCATTGATAACGTTAGATTAGAACTAGACACGTTTCACTTTGATTAAACATCGGGGGATTACGGTATAAGCTTTGCGTTTATTCATTCCTTTTAATAATTCGATTAGCGTTCGTTCGAATGCGCATGCGCGCGCAAAATGTCGCGTTTTGATTCGATATCGTGAATGGATAGATGCGGAGGCGAAGTGGACAAACAGAATGGTAATCGTTTGAATAGCGTTTCGGCGGTTCTGTGATGTCATTCACTATAATGCTGGGTTTATAGATTCAATTGAATTAACAGTTAGGAATGAACAATCAACAATCAACAATAATTAATAATCATGAGGGTGTTTATACATATCTGATATTGGTAAAACTGCATTCATCATGCGATGGTTTTTTTCTCGAAATTTTTTTTGGTACTTACGTATTTTTGTCTGAAAAACATGAATTTGATGATGAAAATGTGAACAAACCACTATTTATCGAGATATTTAATGAAAAAGTTCGAAATTTCGCCTTCTTTTTCTCCTTGTGTTGAATGCATTTACAGCTACTTGCTCTTCTTATTTTGTCATTGGACACTTTATGTACTCATGCTGTACTTCAACGACATATTTTTATGTAGAAAATTCAACAGGAAATGTGATAGAATCCTTATTGTGATATATAAACTGTCCAATGATGAAAAAAGAAGGGCAAATTATTCTAAATGCGATCCAGAAAACAGGCGGAATAGAACCCAGCGAGCACAAAAACATCTCAGAGATGTTAAAAGTACGAGATTTCGAGACATTGAACCTCCACTGCGATGTTCTGTTCACAAATGAATAGAACTATTATAGAACAGCCAATGTCCGCCGCAGGCGGCAATTATCGAGATGTCCTTGATATGTTCAAAAACTACCTTCTCCCTAGTTTTTTTTTAAAGCCTTTTCATGGACACAACAAAACATTTTCAACGCGTCTTGCGCACATTAAATCGCTGTAAAAAAAACATTTTCGAGGTACTTTTCTGAAGCCTTTTGTCAAAATGAACTTTTGCATTAGGATTCCATTTCCCTTGAATGAAAAAATGCATTAAAAATAGATTGAACATAAAAATATTTTAATTAAGAGAACAAACTCAAAGTCTCGCTCCAAGTAAATTATAATCAAATAATATATGCTATATGCTACATGTTTCGACTCCTAGGAGTCATCATCAGGCTAAAATACAACACTTATAAATGAAAGAAGTTCCATCACTATTGGAAAAGGGGTGACATACCTTGCTAGGTAGGAGGAGAAAGGAAACTATAAAATTGAGAACATAGTTCTTCAGGCTTTTGAGCCCAAAATAATTTCAAGTAACATTTTTGAATTTTGGTTTTTTGAACCCCCAAATAAACATTTTTTTAAGATGCTTCTTTTGGATCAGATAAACATTGTTTACAGCAAATGGCGCGGTTATGAAGTGAACAAACCGACAGACTACTTGATTTGACAGATAAAAATTATTATTCGACAAACAAGTGACAAATGTCATCTATCAAAAACACAAAACATTGAAGTTGACTTAATGGACCATACATCAAAATTCATAACAAACAAAGAAATGTGTCTAGATTGACTAAGTCGGGTATTTAATATTGTGTTTTTTTGAAATAGGAATAACAACGTTAAAAAAGGGAATTGCCAATGCAACCAATGAATGGAGAGGAAGATTACAAAATGGAATTGAAAGTGGATAGGCAATCAAATCTAACTTGTTCATTAAGACAAACAGTTGAATTTGAATGGGCAGATCTATTGATTTCTAGGATTTCCAGAAGGTTAAGCTTTTTTCCTTTAGGATGAACATGTAGAACTTCAAAATCTTCTACTATATTATGTTTGTGTTTATTCTCGAGAACATGGTTTGCGAAAGAAGATGTAGTGTTGATAATATCAGAGTTAATATATTTGTCAATTATCTTTTTATGTTCTGCTATCCTGGTGGAAAAAGCTCTCCCTGTCTGACCAACGTATTCTGCATTGCAATCAGAGCATTTGATCTTGTAAACGCCTGACTTAGAATGTACAGGGTTTTTATCTTTGTTATTAACAAAAATGGAACCTAAACTATTATTGGTTTTGAAAGATAAAGAAATGTTATGTTGTGCAAAGATTTTTGAAAATTTGAGGGAATGTGGGCCAAAATAGGACATAGATCTGTATATCCTGTTGGATTTTTCGATTGATGGCAGAAGGTTCCTGTTAATAAATTTTGATTGGTGTTTATAAAAAAGTTTGTTAATTAAATTTAGTGGAAAACCGTTATTATGTGCAATTTGTTTTATTATGTTGAGTTCATTATTAAAAGAACTTACTGAAAGAGGTAAATTGAAGAGTCTATGAAACATACTATGAAAACTAGCAAATTTCTGTTGATAGGGGTGATTGGAGCTGAACGGTATAGCTGTGTCTGTATGGGTGGGCTTTCTGTAAATGTCGAAAGTGAGGTTGTTGTGAGATCTATTAATCTTCAAGTCCAAAAAGGGGATAGAACCGTTAACTTCAACTTCCATGGTGAATTTGATATTGGGGTGTAAATTGTTGAGAAAAAGCAAGAAATCATTAAGCATAGTACCATCGCCATCAAACAAAACTATAGAATCATCAACGTATCTGTAATAGAACTTAACATTATTTTGAAAAATGGGGTTCTTGTGAAATTCTTTTTCTAGATTGCTCATGAAAATTTCGGCAAGTAGGGGTGATAAATTACAACCCATAGCTAGACCTTCTGTTTGACTATAAATTTTGTCATTAAACTTGAAAAAATTCTGTTCAAGGACAATGCTAAGTAATGTGCATAAATTGAGTGTATGTTGAGTGAGAATGCCACTTTGAAATAAAATGTCCCTCACTAGTTGGATACATTGGTCTGGTGGGATGCTAGGGAAAAGATTTGAGACATCGAAGGAAACTAAAATGGAGTTAGGTGGAACTACAAAATTTTTAATTTTGTTAGTCAAGTCAAATGAATTCTTGATTGAATAAGTATTTCTGAAATCAAGAAGATCCTTGAGAATGTTATTCAACCAAGAAGCCAGTGGACTGGCTGGTGAGTTGACAAAGGAAACAACCGGTCTTATAGGGATCTGTGTCTTATGGATTTTAGGAAGTCCATAGAGTGGGGGAGTAAAGGAATTCATGGAGTATAATCTGTATTTTTTCAACAAGAAGGTCTAGCTATGGGTTGTAATTTATCACCCCTACTTGCCGAAAGGACCCCGCACAAAACCATAGGGAATTGGCCCACAGTGGGATTTGCTTGAAATTCACATATGTTATAGGTATGGAGTTCCTGATCAAATGTTTCCATGTGACCAATCCTCTAAGACCAAAGATTCAGCTCTCAGGGCCGTATTTAGTATAGGTGCCAAATAACCAATGACACTTTTTATTTCAAGCCCATGATTTTTGTATCTCCCATTATAATTTAATTGAATGAGAAATGTTGCGAAATTTTGGCATTTGTCTTTCAGCACAAGTCCTCTGTAAAACATGCCTTGTCCTACAGGACCGTATTTAGTAAAACTGTATTTGCCAAAGTGTCGAATCCTATTTCAGTGGTATTTGCAGTTGCAAATCAAGGGCAAGGACACTAGGAACATGTGCTCTTATTTGTAGCATATTGTGGTATTTAGGATTTGCCCGCTATAATCGAAATAAGAATTATCCGTCGACTTCTGTGTTACAGCATATTAAAGATGCCGCAAGTCCAGTGCAAGATGCAATACTCCAGCAGCTGTAAGTGTTCGGGAATTATGTTGATAGTGAGTGCTCGACTTTTTTGTTCGCCACCCTGTAAATATCGGTTTCAACTTTGTTAGTGATGAATTAGATGAAGTTTCAATTAGAGTTATATTTGTATTATATAGAGTTAGGTAATTGAAAAAGTAAATGACCGATTTCAACACTCAAAACGTGTACTTATATCTTTTCCTGTTACTATCATTCCTGAAAAGCTACGAGATATGTCCTACATAAAGATTAAATGTTAGGCCGACCATCTTGAATATTGAGATGGTGACCACTTTTGTTATGTACACAAAGAAATCTACATTCATTTATCAAACGACCAGTGAAATAGGACAAGAAATAAGAAAGTAATAACAAAATCAATTCGATTCGGCACTTTGGCAAATATAGTTTTACTAAATACGGTCCTGTAGAACAAGGCATGTTTCACAGAGGACTTGTGCTGAAAGACAAATGCCAAGATTTCGCAACATCTCTCATTCAATTAAATTATAATGGGGGATACAAAAATCATGGACTTGAAAAAAAATTGTCATTGGTTATTTGGCACCTATACTAAATACGGCCCTGAGAGCTAAATCTTTGGTCTTAGAAGATTGGTCACATGAAAACATTTGATCAGAAACTCCATACCAATAACATATGTGAATTTCAGGCAAATCCCACTGTGGGCCAATTCCCTATGGTTTTGTGCGGGGTCCTTTTCATGAGCAATCTAGAAAAAGAATTTCACAAGAACCCCATTTTTCAAAATAATGTTAAGTTCTATTACAGATACGTTGATGATTCTATAGTTTTGTTTGATGGCGATGGTACTATGCTTAATGATTTCTTGCTTTTTCTCAACAATTTACACCCCAATATCAAATTCACCATGGAAGTTGAAGTTAACGGTTCTATCCCCTTTTTGGACTTGAAGATTAATAGATCTCACAACAACCTCACTTTCGACATTTACAGAAAGCCCACCCATACAGACACAGCTATACCGTTCAGCTCCAATCACCCCTATCAACAGAAATTTGCTAGTTTTCATAGTATGTTTCATAGACTCTTCAATTTACCTCTTTCAGTAAGTTCTTTTAATAATGAACTCAACATAATAAAACAAATTGCACATAATAACGGTTTTCCACTAAATTTAATTAACAAACTTTTTTATAAACACCAATCAAAATTTATTAACAGGAACCTTCTGCCATCAATCGAAAAATCCAACAGGAT